ACCCCTGGTGCGTGCATGTATCACACAGTAGAATTCGGCTCCACGGGGCTCTTCAGAAGCAGACTGCCAGGCCTTTATTCCCAGGCACTTCTAGGGGGGCGCCAAACTCCAGTCTTCTGGTTAGTGGCCAAATGCGTCACCACCGTGCGCTCCACTCGGGCAGCCGCTACCTGGGGCTTGGCCGGCCGGCGTCCCGGTCACTGCTCTGTTCCGTCCTTCTGTCCTGGCTTCGAAGTGGCTGTTGGCATCTTGTCATTGAGAGAGTGTCGTCGTCGAAACTCAGTTTGCGAACAGGGGCCTTTGAATTCCAGGGCCTGGGATCTTTTGTTATTGTGTTCCAGTCATTGTATCCGTTTAATAGTTGGATTTAGTTTTCAACCCTTGGGCACATGAACAACAAAGACAAAAATCCTTCTTAGCTTGCAGGCCCGGCAGGAGCCAAGAGTGGGGTGGGGGTGGGGGCGTGGTTTCGTGACCCCTGCCCTTGCCCACCACCATCCGGACTTACAGAATTCCTAAACCAGGAATTTCCAAAAATGTTGCACCCTGATGGTAATGAGATGAGTGTTAGCAGGTGGGACAAATAGCACCCGCTCAGCCTCATTGGCACCCTTGGTGATAAAATGACCCCCCCTTTTCCTTCTCTCCCTGATTTAAGGAAAGGGGGAAGTCTCCTGGGTGGGAGACCTCCCAGCACTTGTTAAGCCCCCTTCTTCAGAAACAGAGCCCTGAGCAGCCTGTCAAAGGTACCCCCACTTGCAGCGGCTTTCATTTGAAGGTCCGTGTGCGCCCTTCCAGTGATCGGCGCTCGGTTTTTCTTCTAAAACAAATGGATTGCCTTTTTTTAAATCAGCGGATTTAAAGACAATATCCAGTAAACAATAGTGCAGTGTAGCGTGTAAGGCTATGGGAACATGGTGAGAAAGACAAGGTGATCAGCATTTGACATTGATGGTAGAGATCTAGCTTGTTTCCCACTGTTGGGCCCTAACCCCTGCACTGGCTTTTATGGCGTGGTCCCTTCTAGACTTTTCAAAGGTCGATTGATTGTGGTTTTCAGCCCCGCATCAATAGCCCCATGGGGTTGGCATCCCCCAGCCTCTCTTCCCTGCCTCCATGACTGCAGAGGCCGACAATGGCCAGACAGGGACATGACCCCAGAGCTGTAGTCCTCCCCTTGAGCTTGAACCACTGGAAGGGTCCTTAAAGCCCAGCACACCGAGTCCTGCTCCAGGGTTTCTGGGTTAGTATGTCTGGCCTGGGGCCTCGGAACTTACATTTCAACAAGCGTCTGAACAAGGGTCATGCTGAAGCCCTCGGGCCAGGCTGCAGAGAAGGCGGGGCTCCCAGCGCTGGGGGTGAGAATGGGGGGTGCTAGGTATTCCCAGAGGACCCAGGCCTGAGGCAGGCTCAGCGAGGTCTAAGGGACCAAGCCAGCCCCCCGCAGCTCGCTCTTCCTCCACCCCCAGGTTCCTGAGCTGCGGACTCCTCCCGGAGCACGTGGAGCCCCTGTGCTTGCTGCTGAGCAAGTGTGAAGACGTCAGTCAGCTGGCGTAAGTTGGGGCAGAGCGCAGGCGTGTGCACCCGGTTGGGGGGGGTGGAGTGTCAGTGCGTGCAGTGGGTACACCCACATCTTTCAACCAAGAGCCCCTGGGGAATGCTGGATGGAGCACAGGTGGTGTCCTGGCACCAGTGTATCCCCCACCCCCACCCCGGTCCTGTCAAGATAGACCTAACCTCACAGTGGGGTCCTTGACCGAATTTGAAGAACCCTTCCCCAAAGACCCCCGCCTCGTGCTCTGCTGGCGGATGGGGTCTCAAATGTAAGCTCCATTGGTTTGCTTCAAAGGTGCTCCAAGAATCAAGGGCTCAGCAGGCGGAGGGGCTGGGAGCCAGGCAGCTTGGGGACTTGGGGGCTCCAGTGTTGTTAAGGAATGGGCGGTTTGTGTGCTCGGTCTTGGGCACTTACATGAAGCATACCGCCCCGCCCCAGGGGTGGGAAATAATAATAATAATAGCTGAAATGACGGAGTTCTTCCCGTCACGCTGAATCTGACCAGAGTGGCCCCATGTGGCAGGGTGGGACGGCTGAGGCGTCACGATGGGCCCAGGGTCACGGCGCTCTTGTCGTGAGCAGCCGGCGAGCACCAATTTGAAAGAACCATGTATTAGTCTAGGAACTTTAGAGAAACAAATCCACAGCGACTCATGTATAAGAGAGTTTTATGTAAAGAAAGTGTGCATCACGAAACATCCCAACTCAATGCTGCCCAAGCCCACAAGTCCAACATTAACCCATTAACCCAGCACCAGTCCACAAAGTCCTCCACCTCACAAAACAGAGGCAATGATGCCGACTGCAGGAGGAAAGCTGAGTCAGTGAATGTGTAAGCATCTCAGCACTAGCAGGGGTCTCCACACGACTGCTCCAGCACCCAGGGCTGCATCGGGATAGGTCCATGCGGCTTCTCCTTGGGGATGTCTTGTAGGAAGTCAATCTTGCAAGCTGAAGCAGGGAACTGCTAAGGCAGCTGCACCCTGGTGCGACCTTCACAAAGCAAGAGACCTGAGAACTAGAAAGGCGAGGCTCACCACCCATTTATCCCTCCGCCTTTGAATTAGCCCCACATGTGATTATCGGTCAGGTTGGCACAATTAACTAACTCAAACCAATACCTTTTTTTCTTTCTTTGTTTCACTTGTGGATCTATTTGCTTAATGAAGGTTTCTGGTTCTCAGCGATGTGTTACTTCCTCACACGTATTTTACAAAATGGATGCAACAAGCTAGAAGGCAGTTTATACTCAACAACTAGCTTCCGTTGGTGGTCAAACACACCCTGCTGTCAGGAAAGCATGGGTGCCTCATTTTTTGTTGCTTTTGGTGAATCGGTTGCTAAAATGAAACTTGTAACCAGGGTTCTCTCTAAGGTAGGCGACTGGGCAGCCGCCCAAGGAAATCACCAATTTACACACCTTGCTCATTTTCTTCCATGTTCACCTGCGTCACCACGTGTGCTAAGTGCCCACAGTGCTGGTCATGCTTGTCCAGAGGGATAAAAAATTAGATAGAGCTGTGCTCGTAACATTTATTCATTCCATAAAACTCATCACGCTTTTGATGAAATATACATCTTTAGTCTCTGGCGTAAGTTACTTCGGTGAACAAACATTTAAGTCTGAGTCACTTCAGTAAGTTTGTTTACTTCAGCGAGCAAACGTAAGCAAAGAAAAAAGGTGCCAAACCACCAGAGGGTGGCACTGTCATTCTCTTCAGTGTTGTGTGACGCCCCCAAATTCCCACAAGATCTTCGGAGGGAATTGTGCCATTCACTCGTGTGAACTATGGTCAGACCAATTTCTGTACGTCCAGCAGAAGCAGGAAGGGGCTTTTCAATGATGGACATAGTACATTCAGAGAAGAGACGCAACCTGTCAACGAGACATCAAAGACAACGACTGTGTCTAACTGGCCTACCTCTGAAGGCATGGGATCCTACTGCAGGGAGAAGATGCCTCGGGATGGAACACCCGGCCCAGGGGGCACAGATACAAGCGAAGAAAGTGCTGAGTGGGCGCCAATCCAGCAGCAGTACGGATCGCCCCCGGATAACAGTTGCATTGGGTTGCCGTGGTTGTCAGGTGTTAGTTCCTGTTTTTTGTGAATGTTTTACAAGTCTTTCTTAGAACAGAATCTAGTTTTGGATACTTCTTCCGTTGTTCTTGTGTCAATAGTAACCGTAGGAAATAACAGACTGAGCGGTCGTGAGGGCAGCGAACCCGTTGTTGAGTGACTGATCTCACACACACACACACACACACACTGCCTGCTTACACACACACACACACACACACACACCCCGCCTGCAGGACAGTGTGCATCGTGCGGTGTCCATGGTAGGTGCTGTGAACAGGTCTTGGGCGTGTGACTAGGGCGTGGTGTGAACACTGCACCCCTGCTTCTCCGTGTCGCATCTCCGACAGGCCTCGTGTGCTGGCAGTCATCTAATCATCCCCGTGCGGAGGGATTTGGTACGCAAGCCACATGATGTTAGCGATTCCCCCGAGTCTGACACGGGTCCCTTCTCATGAGCCTTCTGGCCTTCCGTCCAGCCCCCCAGCTTTGAGGATGCTTTCGTTGCTTTTGAGGGTCGTGGTGATGGTCCCGTGCGACACGCCTACATCCTGTAGGAAGGATGACATTCCTGACCGTCCACCTTGGTGTTGTTTCAGAACCTCTTGTCTCCCTGCCCAGTCCATGCGTGTCCCCTGCCTCTTGCTGCTGTGGTCACTGGCTCTGGTTTTGCCACATTTGGGAGCCGTGGGCTCTTCGCGGTCATGGTTTCCAAAGAAATTTAAGTAGAGCGAGACCCCACACACACACACAACCCGAGAGATGTGCAGTACATAAGACGAGATACTGCTGCCGACACGTCGGAGCAAACAGGCTCATATTCGACTCTTTAGATAGATGGTACAGCACCTTGTTGCTGCCAGGGGCCATCGGGTGGACTCTGCCCCGAGGCCCCACAGAAGGGAGCGCTGCCCAGTCTTGCAGCGTTCTCAGAATTGTTGTTATGTGAGAGCCCGTTGTCGCAACCTGTGTCAATGCATCCTGCTGAAGGTCTTCTCTTTTCCACGACCCCTCCGTTTGACCCACTAGGATGTCCTGCCCAGGGACTGGTGTCTGCTGAGAACGTGGCCAAGTAGTCTCCCCATCCTCCTTTCCAAGGCGCATTCCAACGGTCCTTCTTCCAAAACGGGCTAGCTTGGCCTTTTGACAAATGGTGGTACTTTCCATGTCCTTGGCCAGCACCGTAATTCAAATGCAGGAGTTCTTCCTCATGCTTTTTGTTCACCAACTGCCGCGTGCACAGGAGGAGATTGAAAATACCATGGCTTGAGGAAGGCACACCTTAGTCCTTAGAAAAGGAGCCCCGGTGGGGTAGGGGTTACAAATGGACTGTGATCCGCATGGTCGGCAGTTCAAAACCACCAGTATCTCCACGGAAGAAAGGCTGGGTTTTCTACTTCCACAAATAGTTACGGCCTCGGAAAGGCACCGAGGGTTGCTGTGAGTCAGCACTGACTTGATGGCAGTGGGTTTGAGTTTGGGTTTGGGTTCGTCCTCAATGTGACCTTCTTTCATGCCGATACTTTAAAGAGCGCTTGTGTGGTAGGTTTGCCCAATATAAGACAAGACATCATTTGAAGTCTGGACTGCAGCATCCATGAGCATTCCCTGTGCATCCAAGCAAGATGGAACCCTTGGCAATGTCAACCTTTTCTCCGTTTAGTAGGATGGTACCTGGTGGTGCTGTTTGGAGCATTTGCTCTTCTTTATGACCAGTCATAACCCACACCGAAGACAGCAGTCCTTGATCTTCATCGGCAAGTGCTCCTTGTTTTCAGGATGCAAGGTTATGTCGCCTGCGTAGTGCAGATTATTAATAAGCCCTCCTCCCTGTAAGGTAGTTGAGAGGTGCCAGAGACCAAATCAGTCGAATTAGAACAAACAGGCTTTAGTAGGGAGAAAAACCCCAGCCTGGGCGAAGTCCCACAGTCCACAATGTCCGGGCTGGGGGAGTCGCATCGCAGGCTACAGGGCTGCTGCTTATATGGACAGGTATGTTCGGGTTCCTGGAATGTAAGGTGTCTTCCTGGTTCCGGGTGTATTCGTGCGGGTGCAGAGTGGTGGGCAAGAACAAAAAGCAGGCACTGAGCCAAACAGGCCGTGCTGGGTGCAGAGTGGAGGGTCAAGAGCAAAGTGGGCACTGAGCCAGACGGGCCATGCCGGGTGCAGAGAGGCAGGTCGAGAGCAAAGCGGGCCATTAGCCAGTTCTGGTCAGCTCTGCAGGTGTGTGTGGGAGATTCAAGGCCGCTTGCTGCTAGTTGTTTCAGCCAGCTCTGGTGAGCTCTGCATGAGTAGGGGAGACTCAAGGTCACTTGTTGCTAGAAGCTAGCCTGGTATTGACCCGGCCATACACTCCCATCCTGATGCTGCTTCCTTCTTTGTACAGTCTAACTTCTCCCTGATCTGCTCAGGCTACAGATTGAAAACGTGTGGTGAAAGGATGCAACCCTGATGCACACCTTTCCTGATGTTCAAACACTCCGAGAGCCCCTGTTCTGTTCGAATGAGCGCCTCTTGATCCATGCACGGGTTCCACACGAGCACAAGGGGGTGTTCCGGAATTCCCATTCTTCTCTGCTGTCCATTGGTGGTTATGATCCTCACACGTGAATGCCTTTGCATGGTAGCACAAGTACACATCTTTCTTGTCTGAGAAGAGACACGTATTATCTGTGAGTTCTGTGTGGTCATTCTAATGAATAACCACATGGATGTTCCTTGTGACTATTAATTATGGTTGAGGACATGGCGTGGGGGCCAGGCCTGAGCTCCTCCGGCTTCAGCAGAGAGAAGGAGAAGCCAATTCCACACCAGCCCGAGGCCGATCGCTACAGGCGGAGGTCAGCCTGGCCTCTATTCTTCTTGACTCAGCTGATGTCCACCACTCCTACCATGGCGCCCTGCTTCGCTGCTAGGCTCGATCATCCATTACAGTGGCCACACAGGACCTGCAGACAATACTCAAGATTATGGGGAGTGCTTAGGGAAGGTTACCAAAGGGTAAGTTCTGTTCTCCGCGCCGCTGCTCAGGCTTCGGGCGGAGTGTCTCTTTGGTCCTCGGCCTCAGCCATGTTCCAGGAGAACATGGGGAACCCAACGCTCTGCCTCGTGTTCTCGGTGCTGCAGCCTCTGCCACTTCAGGCTGAGATCTCCCGTGTACTCCGCTGGATCTCTTCTTTCTTCGTGAGCGTGGGGTTCTCTCTTCTCCTGCTTCTGAGATGACTCACTGTTATACCCAGTGAAATGGCAAAATGGACCCACCCCCTGTATCAGTGTTTCACACATCCTGTTTGTATGACCCCGCCCAAGTGTTGGGTAGAAAATTTTTAAAACATAGACAGAAGATCCATGCCAAGTGATTGCACTCCATCATGATAGATTACATATGTACTGTGCCATTCTCAGGAGCCCTCGTGGCGCAGCGGATTGCTCGTTGGGCTGTTGCCCACAGGTCAGCAGTTCGGACCCACCTCCAGTGGAGGCTATCACCTCCCGTGACTGCTTCACAGCCCGGGAAACCTAGGGAGCAGTGCACCCCTACCCTGTAGGGTCACTAAGAGTCAGAAGTGATCTGGTGGGGATTAGTTGGTTGATACTGTACCATGATACACCTGGC